TTAATTTGACAAATTATTTAATGGACTTTTATCAACTAACAAAATTCTTATCATTATTGATGTTTTGTAAACATTGCCCTGTTRGAATATGGCTACTTTTGCTTCACTATTAATACAGAGTCGGCTATCTAGTTGTTTTATATATCTGTGTATTTTATACGGTACGGGAAACGGAAGTTACTAACGTAAATCTTAACAGTTAATTTAGTTAACTAAAGTAAAAAAAATTCAATACCTACCGTGTAATTAATTCGTTTTTTAGTAAGTACCTATTAACTATTAAATTGATTAATAACAGTGCATGAAAAATGGCATCTCCGACACCGACAAAACTAAGGCACTATAAGTATGAGTATGTGCATCCGCCATTTTGGTTGCAATATATTAACTGATAACAATATTTTCCTATCAAAATTAAATTGTTTTAATAATATATCATGACTTAATCAAAATTTTGTCATGTAATATATTATTCATTATTCTCCGACTTTTATTTGACACAAATTCAATATGTCGTGTTCTGCTGTAAATTGTACTAATCGCAATACTCAGGGTATACGTTTGTTCCGGTTTCCAGCACAACAAGACCGTAAAAAAATATGGATTATTAATTGCAGAAGAGGTCAATGGAACCCCACAGAATCCGCTCGTCTCTGTGAAGTAAGTTGATTATTTGATAATTAATAGTGAATACAACTATTAGAGTAACACAAAAATATAGACTCAGTTTCTTTTGATTACTATTCTTTATACTTTCCTACAGACTACAGTTTAGAAATATTAATGTTGTTAAAAATATGTATCAGAAAAAATATAAGTCTAATATAAATCTTTTGGCTTTAACAAATATTATAAACAATTTTTAAAATATAGTCAATACAATTATAATACAAACATCAATCACTGTACCATAATAATTATTAATTTAATTTACTATTATTTTGAATAATAATTATAAGAAAAAGTTTTCAAAATATATATAATATAATATTTACATTTTTTTAAATATATTATATATTATATACATTATAATAAGGTTATTATATACTATTTAATATTTATGGTTTAATTCATTACCTAACTAGTTATATTTTATTAATTAATTAGTTATTTCTGCCATTAATGTTTGTTATTTAAATCCTACCAGGTTCATTTTGAGGAGAATCAATTTGAAAAGAATAGAAATGATGGCTGGGTTAAATTAAAATGGGATGCCATTCCCACAGTTTTTAACGTCCCAAATCCACCAAAAAGGATGATGACAACTAGAAAATCAAAGTATAAGGTATGCAAAAAATTAAATTATTAAATTAATTACCAATAATACTACTCATTTTTATTTGATAGTTCACATTATTTTACATCTAAAACACGTTCAGTTAATTAGGTGGTACAACCATTAATTAAATTACATTTACATTTTTTTAATAGATACCTGTTACTGTTGAAGACAATGTTTCCTGCCAGATTGCAGATACTGTTTCTATCAATGCAGATACTTCAAAAGACATAAACAATTCAAATGTAGAATCTGTAAGTACACTTCTACAGTAAAATTAGCTATTTTTCAACAATGATTCCTGTAAAAATATGTTACTTACTTTTAATTACAGTGTATTAATTGCCATGAGTATATCAATGAAATTGCTGAACTAAAAAAACAAGTCGAAACATTGAAAAAAGAAACTGCTGAAAAGGAAATTGCTTTGAAGCAATTTTTAACTGAACAGCAAATAAATGTTCTTTCTAACAAAACAAATGTACAGCAATGGGATAATGAAACAATTATGAAATCATTAAAAATTCCTTTTGCTGTTGGTGTTCATGGATTTCAATATTTAACCCATTAAGGACTAGCGTAACCGTATGGTAACACAATTATAGTTGTGTTTGAGTGCATGCTATTTTTAAACTTATTGGGTTATCCAGTTCCACAATAGTGCATATCGTCGATAATGACCCAGTGATTAATTTTATATATAAATATCGATAGTATATGCGAACGTTAAATATTTATCAACAAATTCAATTTAGTTTGAAAATTATTTCGTAAAGCATGKATTTCAATTTCGAGTAAGTAAATTAAATATGTTTAAAATATATGAATCAAATATAATTTGTATTTATACATATTCAGTATATTATAAGGATTAATATTAACTAAATTAAGTGTGATATTATCCAATATTGAATAAGTTATGAAAGTTAAAAGTTTGATGTTACCGTATGGTAACGCTAGGCGCCTGTACTACATATATTATTTATTTTTCAACAGAACTGGATTTTCGCTGTCTGAAGCATTAGACATTTTATATAATGATGACATAGATGCAGATGAGATATTTATTGAACCACCGGAACCGTGTGTTCAAAATGATGAAGATTCCGGAGATGAAAAGAATGGTGAAGTTGACAATTTATCAGCACGACAATTACGATCTAAAGCAGAAATTAAATTAGCCAATAATAAGAGGTACGGCGGTATTGGTGATGACAACATTTATCCTGAAGAAAGTTTGAGCAGTAAATCTGGGACATCGAGTGAACAATATCAACATGTAAGCGTGAAAAGTACTGATGAGTGGATGAAAAAAATTAAAACTGGTAAGAAATCTTTTACGTGGATAAAAGGGGGAGATTTTGAAGAGCTTCAATTGAAGTTTCCTCAACCTGATTTTTCAAAGTATAAAAAYTTATCTATAGTAGAMATTTTTGAAACTTTTTTGGATTATGACAWAATTAATTATCTCGTGGATGAAACTAGACGTTATGCACTTTTTTTAAATTGTCCAGATCCACATATAACGCATGACGAAATTCGATGTTTTATTAGTATTTTATACCTTAGCGGATATAATAAATTACCTTCAAAAAAATYKTTTTGGGACTCTATGGATGATATGAATAATAAAGCTGTATGTAATGCAATGCGCCGTGATAGATTTTTGCAAATATGTCGCTTTATTCATTGTGTTGATAATACACAAATTAATGCTAAAGATAAGGCTTGGAAAATTAGACCTCTTATGAATATGATAARAAATAAATGTTTAGAAAATTTTGTACCTCAAAAACATCTTGCTTATGACGAATCAAYGGTGAAGTACTTTGGTAAGCATGGATGTAAGCAATTTATTAGAGGCAAACCAATACGGTYTGGTTACAAAATGTGGTGTGTCAATACGAATGMTGGTTATCTCGTAAATTTTGAATTGTACYAAGGCAAAGATCCTCGTGAAAATGAAAAATACAATTCAATATTTGGAAAAGCAGTATCACCTCTTGTTTTAATGCTTGAAGACTTACCCGATTCTAAAAAAAAATTACCTTACTCGTTGTACATGGATAACTTATTTACTGGGTTAAATGTTTTTAATTATTTCAAATATTTGGGTTACTCAGCGATTGGTACTATACGGCAGAATAGAATACCAAAAACTTGTCCTTTGACCGACAAAAAAAAATTTTCAAAAAAAGAACGTGGAAGTTTTGAAACTGCAATAGAAAAAAATGAGGGTATTTTGTTGTTTAGATGGATGGATAATGCAGTTGTTACAATGGCTTCTACTGATGTCGGCACTGAAAATGTTTCAAGTGTAAGAAGATATTCACAAAAACATAAAAAGCATATAAATGTAAGTCRCCCTAAACTTATTGCTCAATATAACCAGTATATGGGTGGAACTGATCAGATGGATCAAAACATAGCCACTTATAGAATTGGGGTAAGAGGTAAAAAATGGTGGTGGCCAATTTTTACTTGGCTATTGGAAATTCCAATGAACAACAGTTGGACTTTGTACAAAAAAKTTAATTCTAAACAAATTACCCAGTTGGATTTCCGCCGTGAAGTAGTGCTTACATATTTACAAAGATATGGAATAGCTCGAATAGGCGCAGGAAGACCATCAAAATCTCTGTCATCATCCGACAGTCGTGTTTCCAATGATATTAGATATGACCGTATGGACCACTTAGTTTCATTTACTCAAGAGAAGAAAAGAAGGAGGTGTGCAAAAGATGGTTGTAAATCGGTAGGACGGACAATGTGTGTGAAATGTGACGTTGGATTATGTATCGATTGCTTCGTTAATTTCCATAAAAAATAAATTAGTTTATAAGTATTTAGTTTTATTGCGATATTTATAATTATTAAATATTTATGTAATAATTAATACAATTGACCTCTAATTAATTATTGTATTGTTAAATTTGTATACATTCTATAACAATATTTATTTGATAAAAATATGATTATTACAAATTGGGTAGTGTATGCTCCTAGCGTTACCATATGGTTACGGAACTTATCTTAAAAACAGAGTAAAAAAANGTAGCGCAGCAGTCACTGCATATAATTCAGGACCAAACCGTCTTTCTTTGTTTAACAAACATGTAACAAATAAAAGCCCAGGGAGATTTACAAAAATGTATATTAAAAGGCATATAGTAAGAGCTGAAACTCGAAAACGACGGCGATGTCTTTTTAGTGGACCAAAAAATATAAAAAATCGTTGGTAGGTACATTGAAAAGAAAACTCTTTATTAAATATAAAAAAAAAAAAAAAAAAAAATATAGACAATCATTCCTTGAGTATGTAAGGTAAGCTTTTAATTAAAATCAACTTCAAATTTGAAAAAAAAAAATTTCGGACTTAATGGGTTAAGAGAAATGAACTTTCCGTTACCCTGTTATAGCACCATAACTCGTCGACTACAAGGTCTTACATTGGAATTTGGATTGTTTGAATCAATGTTAGAACCTTTAGTGTTTAAAGTTCAACAGTTGGAGAAAGAAGACAGGTTCTGTGTTCTTTCGTTTGATGAAATGGAAATAAGCTGTGAAGAATCATATGATAAGAACCGAGGTAAACGTTATGGAAAGATTACTCTTGGTAACACTAATAAACTTGGAACTAAACTTTTATTAGTGTTGCTACGTAGTGTAAAGAATAATTGGAAACAAGTAATCGGTGCTCATATTACAGATGGGTCACCTGCACCTGAATTAACCAAGCAGTTTATTTATGATTGCATAGAGTTTTGTAAAAAAGCTGGTTTGAAAGTTGTTTCTCTATCTTCTGATATGGGAAATGAAAACAGATCACTATGGAAAGAGTTAGGTGTAAAAATTCAAAAAACTGGTATTCGACAGAATTATTTTACTTATGATGGTAATAATGTGTTTATTATGCCAGATGTATGTMATTTGATTAAAAATTTAAAAAGTACTGCATTAAAGAGCTCAATTAAATTACCTAAGGAATACTGTGAAGCAAAAGGTCTACCTACAGAATATGTGCATTGTAAGTTTGTAGCAGACTTGTGGAATATTGAACAGCGGAAGGATTCAAATAGAGATGAAGAACTTCGCTTACTGCATCATTTAAAAAGAGATGACATATATCCAAATAATTTTCAAAAAATGAATGTTGGGTCAGCCGTCCGATTTTTCTCTTTGAAAACTGCAGCTGCTGTGGAAACTGCTGTAAACTGTAACTTGTTACCTAAAGATGCACTAACCACTGCTCATTTTATTCGGTTAATCGATGAATGGTTTACGTTAACATCAAGCAAATTACGAAAAACATCAATAACAAAGAGAAACAAGGAAAAAAAATATGATTTCATTCAAAAACTTATTGGTTTAATTGAACAGACTGAGTTTGGATTAAATGGATGGAAACCTCTGAATGTTGGTCTCATCATGTCTTCATTATCCATTATTGAAATAAGCGAGTTATTGTTTTGTAACGGATTTGATTTTATATTGTGCCATCGTTTCACCCAAGATGCAGTCGAAAACCTTTTTTCCCAAATGCGTCGAAAGGCTGGACAAACTCCAAATGCAATTCAATCCCTCAGAGCCCTCAAAATGATACTAATGTCACAGTATATTTCTGATGTAAAACGTAGTAATTACATGAACGACAGTGATACATTTTTATTAAATCATTTTAAAAAAGTTCCTGAGAATTTCAATAGTACTTCTTCTGTTGTTGATATACTTCACCCGACTTATAATGTTAAACCACTAGAATTATTAGATTATGTAGAAAACATTTCAGAGGCATTTAAAATTCTCCCAGTATATGATATGAATATTGTATTTCATTTGGCTGGCAGTGCCACAAATGCTATATCAAAAGTATCATGTAATGATTGTTGTATGTTCATGTGCAACACCACAGAAACTAAAAATCTTCCAGAAAAATACAAGTTTTACACAAAATCATTGAATAAAGGAGGATTGAAAGAACCATGTATCAATACAGTACTTTTAATATTTAATTGTGAATTAGTGTATAGAAAATATAAAATCCACTTTTTACACAACTCAAATTTTAATATCGTAGATGAAATAAGTAATAACATCAAAATTAATTACCCGCTCTGTCAAAAATATTGCAATGTCAAACATAAACTTATAAAACATTATTTCACTATTAGGTCTTATGCAACTTGTAATTTATCTGTTTGTAACAAACGAAAAAAGATATATGGAACAGCAACAGAAAAGAAGAAAAGAAATTAAATAACAAAATTAAACCAATTCATTGTTTTTATTTTATAGAATATAATATTGTTTTTTTTTATTTTATGCAGAATATTTTTTTTTTTAAATAAATAAATCGTTACAATTGTATAATTTGAAATATGTTAATAACATTATTAAATAAAAATTGTTATTTGAAGAACTTATAACCATTTTTAAAATATCAATAGGTTATTTATTAAATAAAATACAATAATTTGAGTCTGAACAAAAAAATTAATTCGGAGATATACTTTTAAAAAGTAGTTTTGTTACAATTGCGTTAATTTAAATAAATTATAATGAAATTACTACAGAGTTACTGCAAGAGTAAATTAGTTACAGTAATTTGTAATTTGCATTACTTTACTATCCAAAAAAACAGTAATCTAGCTTTGGTCACCCAACTTCACACTTTTTGATTATTGAAATAGTTTAGTAAAAGATCCATATTGTTTTTTCTAAAATTCAGCTTTTCAATTTCTAATTTTAAATTAGCTATATCTTGCTCAGCTTTCTGTTTGATATTATTGCAGTCATGATTGTTTTTCTATAAAAATTAAACACAAATTATGTAGCATAGAAATAAGATACAAAAGTTATTATTCATTGAATAGTTAATTTTCAATTGATAAACTAAATTAATGAATATGAAAAATAAGACTATATGACTAATGACTCAAGAGGATGTCATACCCAAGGATGTGTTTTCCTAAATTATCTGTGTTCGTCTTTTATTGGGTTTTTACGATATTTTAATTTTTAAGTGAATTATGTGCATTTTCTAATATTCATATTTTAAATACTCATATTCACTTCAAAATTAAAATATCGTAAAAACCCAACGAGAGAACACAGATATTATTTTTACATTTAAAATAGGAATTGCAGGAAGTAAATTTTGATATATTATGCATTGGTAAGACAGAGACAACACATGTGGATATGACGTACTCTTAATACTCATAGTCTACGGCAGCTTGGTAGATGATTTAGTATAAACTATTATGTTGAATATATTTAATGTCTATTAATGATTATTTCTTGGTTTGTCGATTTTCATAGTTAATTTTATATACCTTTTTAGTGTCATTATCCAATACATTCTTGGGTGATATATTGTCATCTGCAGCAATGATTTTATTTTCTTTAATCTGTATTGAATCGTCAGATGTAGACAAACGAGCCATAATATATTAACGCAGGTAAAATATATAAATTAGTTACCTACTGCTCAGTACTTTTACGATTTTTGGTTAAGTATAATATGAAACATTTAAGCATAGACTAAATAGTAGATGATGACAAAATATATTATGAAGATATGATAATGGGTTATCTGAAATCTTTTGCAACCAAAATGGCGGATGCACATACCTGCTATTATAGTGCTCTAACAAAACGAAAGAGAATTTCTTGGTCAGATAAAGAAGTGAAAGATTTATTAGCAATTTTCAAAGAAAAAAATATAATGTCTGCTTTAGATGGAAAAAGATACATAAATGGAGAAGTAATAAATATTTGTTATCTTTAAGTTTCAACTTCAGTATTATTGTAAATATATTTTTTTTCATGTAGATTTTGGGAGGTGTTCAAATAGAAATGAAGGCTTTAGGATACAACAAAACTGTTGAACAAATTAGAGCAAAATGGAAGGCTTTAAAACATTTATACAAAGATAAAGAATATTGCAATAGAAAGAGTGGTAATGATCGCAAGGATAGAGGTGAATGKGATGAAGAATTGGATGAACTTTTGAAGACACGTCCATCTGTTAAACCTTTGGAGTATGGAGTTGATTCCATTGAATCGGGTAAATATTTAATTTTTATAATTTTTATAATTTATTTAATATAATTAAATGAAATAATAATAGTGTGAAGTAATTACCAATACAATTACTTTACTATTATTTTTAATGATTTATTATATTAGATAATGAAGGCCAAGAAAATTTACAAATAAATTATATGGAAGTCATTTTTAGTAACGATATTGATTACAATATTGACATTGCTGGAACTAGTTTAACTGTAGAAGGCCCTGAAGTATGTACTGAAACAATAAGTCCAGTTCAACCTTCGAAAACACAAAGGAAAAGTAAGCAGAGAAGAAAATATGAAAAAAGCTTTCAGCCCCTTCCCTCAAAAGTCAGCTTGTTAAACAATACAAATAAAAGAGCAGTGTTTCTCTTGCATTTAGGAGTGGAAATAAAAAAAAATGCATATTTGGCAGCAATCTATAGATTTCACTACTAGGTTTTGGAAGGGAGTTTGGAACTTGGCCTCTTTTCACTGTTAGGTTTTTGTTGGGAAGTATATGTACAATGTACATAGTAGACAACACATACCATACATAAACTAATTAAAAAAGTGGTAAAAATTCTGTTTCTTAAAAAGTCTTTGAAATTATATTTTATTATGTAAAAATGATCTAGACAATACTATAATATTTTATTATCTTTAACTAGAAAATATATTTATTTCAAGAACCAGCCTCAATGTATTTATTCTGTAGTATCAAATAATTAATAATTAAATTACAATCTAACTTATACAATTTTTTTAAAACAATTATTGTGAATTACTTAGTACTAAAATAAATAAATAAATAAAATGTTTTGTAGATAGTTCAATATGTCACCATAGTTTTTGATCTTTAGAACAGTTAGATTGTTGTTTATGGTTAACTAATATGTTCAAATATTATGTCAAGCATAAGCAAAAGGGTAACTAGTATTTTGTTTAACTCAATAATTAGAAACAAATAAATTTGCATATAAAAGGGAAATAGAAATACATAGATGACTAGAGGATAATTTTTAAAACATAATTGAAAAAGTCTAAAAAAAATCACTGGTCCATTGGTGCTGAACCATTAAATAATTAATTAATGAAATAATCAGATATACCTACATTTAATTAATTATGTTTTTGGTAAATTTTTTTTTTAACACCAACAAAATGTATGTTATTTTTAGATTCAGAGTGTTACGATGAATGTACCTTTTGATTTTACTGTGATGTGTGTTTTATTTTATTTGTATCTGTCAACACGATAAGTAGTTGAAATAATGCTCTGATCTTAAACAATGGGGATGGTTTCCAATAGCAAATTTTGCCTAGTTGGTACTTTTACCTCAGTTGACTTAAACCCAAATACTTAACTCTGTCTCTATATAAATAGGTTTATTTAAATTTGTTTGGATTTATTAGTATTATTTTGTTTTATTTCTTAAAGGTAATGGAAAGGCATTAAGTTTGGCAAAGGTCTTAGATGCATTTACTGATAAATGGCAAGTTGTACAAAGTCAGATGAATTTAGATTTCATTGAAGGTCAAAATATCATGTTACAACAAGAGTTTGAAAAACAGAGAGCATGGGAACAACAAATTCTACTAGAAGAACGTGAGATTGCTAAATCTGAGAGAGAAGAAAGCAAAAAATTATTTAAAATGTTGATTGGTGCTATTAAAGACTCAACAAAATAATAATTATTAACAAGACAAATGTTTGTGATGAAGTAACCGAAGTTCCTAACTTTGTTTTTATTAAGTTTGTATAAATGGTTTATTATACAATTTTTTTTAATTTTTAAAAAAGGCTTTTATATTTTGTTTGATAAATATCTAAGTTTGTATTTCTTTTCATTATAATTATTCATATTTAAATTTAAATTTAAATTTAAAAGCTATTGTTATTTATTAGTTTTAAACATAACAAAATCAAAATTATATAGTAATAATATACATACAAAATTACATAGTATGAAGTATGAATTTTAAACATATATTTAATGTGTAAATGAAGATTTTCTTAGTGGATAATTCATTGCCTTGTGCTCTTTGAGAATTTCTCTTATTTCTTTTGAATTTGTATTTATTGTTTGTTGCGATAATTCACGTTGAATAGGTTGGGCATAACATATATTTCCTTCATTTCCTTCATTTACTTCCTTTGTCCATGATGCATGGTAATTATCTTTAAATTGTTCAACAATATTGTGTAATACACAACATGCTGAGATGACTTGTGGCATAAATTTATAATTTATATCACATCGCTTTAGTAAACATCTCCATCGTCCCTTTAATCGACCAAAAGCATTTTCAACACATATTCTAGCTGAAGAATGGTAAGTGTTAAAAGATTCTTGCTCTGGTGTTAGACTCACAGTATAACCTTTTAATAACCATGGCAATAGTGGATATGCTGGATCACCAACTATCATTAAAGGTATTTCTTTTACATTTATACTTATGTAATGCTTTGGGATTAATGTTACATTATTTTTATATAAACTTGAGTCTTTTAAGACTGTAGCGTCGTGTACACTTCCTGGATGCTTGATTGTGACATTACGAAATATGTAATTATTATCCACATAACCCTGAAGAACCATGGACGGCCAGCCTTTTCTGTTGACAAAATCTCTATAACCTATTTTAGGGGGCAATACTGGAATGTGAGTCCCATCAATAGCACCAATAAGTTGCTCCATTCCAGTTCTTAGCTTTATACACTGTGCAATGAATTTAGCTTCTTCGATTGTAGGCATAGTAATATGCAAAGGTCTCAAAAGTTCATTTATGGCTTTACAAACTTGATAAACGCATGTATGGACAGTACTTTTATGTACACCAAAAAGGTTTCCAACAACTCTGTACTCTGAACAACTTGACAGTTTAAAAATTACAATTGCAACTTTTTTCTCAACTGATAATGATGGTCTAAATGCTAACGGATTGGGCGATAATTCTGAAAATAGCTGAGTACATATGTAATCAAATGTTGATTTTTTCATTCGAAAATTATCCAACCAATCTTGTTCCGTGAAGTGATTGTTTACGATCCGATTCCAAAAGTCTCCACTCCTCGTCTAACAAAGAATATTTTAATAGTTAAAAGGTGTAATTAAGTAGGGTTACAGAAGGATTTTACCAACCTTTAAGTGTTTATTAATATAAATTCAAACCAATATTATGATAAATAAATGTCTCATGATTAAAAAAAAAATGTATGCAAGGCCTCTTGATACAAAAAAAATGGTATACGTTTATACTATGTATTATTTATGGATACAATTATGAAAATATATTAATTATAATTACCTTCATCCATAAGCTTCGAACTTGAGTACGTTGATTTATTTGGTCAACTATTGTAAGCGAAAGAGCATCTTGAACAATAGTTGATGGAATGGTAGTCGCACATATTAACAACATTTTATGCTTTAACAACTTCCTTTTAGTAATTATCATTTTAAACACTTTTTTTCTTCGCATTTCAGCTGTAAATCTTCTGCGTTTTAATTCAGCAAGAATTGAAACAATTAATTTTAATTTTGTCATGATTTATAACTATTGTAAATTTGTATTTTGTAACACAAAATGAATAAATCATATTATTATCTAATAAGAAAATTTGAATCAAATCAATTATCAAGTATTCTCTTGGAACAGACAAATAAAGTCATGKAGTAAAAMTATTAAATTTAAAACGRTTTATAAAATATTTATATAAACTGATTTAATACATGTTCGTATATAAACACCTAAAAACGGTTTAAGCTTAAACCGTTTTAAATAATATTAAAACGGTTTAATACTAAACCGTTTTAACGCCGTCATATAAACGTAGTATATAAGTCTGTTATTGACTCTCTATAAGGTGAGAATCTGTATTATTCTGATTTATAAGTAAAAATATGCAGTCATCCATATTTTAATAATTATTATTGTTTGTTATGTCTTTTACAGACTATGACAGACTGTAGTGGTCAAGTTGGCAGTGAAAATGCAATTCAGGATGAAAGCATTTTGTCACGGCATGAAAAAGTTAGTTAAAAGGGTACCTAATTAATTTAAGTTATGTCTTAGTTTGAAGATGATATGTTACATTTTCATATGTCTATTTTAGATTTTGGGAAGTAATCATGTGACTACCATTAGTACAAATTCCCCCGTTAATATTGGCTGCTTCAATGAAACATTGTCAACGTATTCTATAGTAAGTTTTTTTTAATTAAAAATGTATTTTCATAATTAATTCATTTGTAGGTACTAATTAAATAAAACTATTTTCATTTGGCTCAATTTTATTAATTCATGTTTACAGCAATTCAATTAAGGTATCTTAATAGAATAGGTAGTTTTGTAGTATTAAATTCACTATAAATATAGTTAATTTTTTTTTTTTTTACAAGGAAAAAGAACTTGAAAAAACAAGAGCCGAAGTGAAACGTATTCAAGTTGAAAATGAAAATATGAAAACATTTATTCAGGAAATGTCAAAAATTGAAGAAGAAAAAAGATTAACTCAACTGGAGATTGAACGCTTRAAAAAAGAAGTTCAGAAGAGTAATGAATTGTTACATAAATTCCTTAATGATGATCAAATATCGGCCTTAAGTACACCCACTCGGCAGTGGGCTAATGACACTATTGTAATGGGCTTAAAAATGCGGTTTGCGTTAGGAGTCCATGGTTATGAGCATCTTAGGGAAACAAAATATCCTCTTCCTGCATATAKTACGCTGACAAGGAGGCTACGTCAATTTAAATTAAATTTTGGTATATTTACTGATTTGCTTGAGCCACTGAAACATAAAGTTTCCTGTATGGAGGAAGGTGATCGGTTTTGTGTTATGTTAATGGATGAAATGGATGAAATGGAGATAAATCCCCAGATAAGTTATGATAAAAATCGCCACGAAATGTTTGGGAATGTTACTCTTGGAAACTCAACCAAAGAAGGGAACAAATTGTTAGTGGTTTTAATAAGAGGTGTAAAACACACATGGAAGCAGATAGTAGGTGCTCATGTAACTGATGGTGCTGTAAATAAAGAATCATTTAAAAAGTTCATTTTTGAATGCATTGATTTTCTTGAAAGTTGTGGTATACAAGTTACATCTTTGTCATCTGATATGGGGAACTGCAATAGAGCTCTATGGACAGAATTGGGCATACAAATAAAAAAAGAAGGCGTTAGGGAAAACAAGTTCTACCACAATGGCCATTACATTTTTATTACCCTCGATGTGTGTCATTTACTTAAAAATTTGAAAAGTGCTACATTAAAGGGGGATATTAATTTACCTGTAACTTACTGTGAAAGTAATAATCTACCAACTCAAATTATCAAAGGTTCTTATATTTCTAAGTTGTGGACTGAAGAAATAAATGCTGGAAACGAACTTAGAAGTTTACACCACTTGAATCGTAATGATATATTTCCTGATAACTTCCAAAAAATGAATGTTGGAACAGCTATAAGATTCTTTTCTTTGAAGACTGCTGTTGCTCTTGAGTTAGCTGTAAGATTTGAAACGTTACCACAAGATGCTTTAACAACAGCCCACTTTATACGACTCGTTTATGAATGGTTCACATTAACAGCCTCAAAAGTTAGGAAAACGTCAATCACCAAACACAACAAAGATTTGAAATATGATTTTTTAGAAAAAATCATTATATTATTTGAAAATATAACTATTGGAAATGGTCGTGCTATGTACTGACGTCCCGCTGAGACATCTAAACACGCATATACACGTAGATATGTATAAGTGACCCTGGGGCGTATGATTTCGCCAACCAATTTTCTATTGTGTAGGACCTCAATAGTTATATCGACGGCCAAACTTCTAGCCTTTCCAAAATATTACCATAATTGGAATTAAATATACGAAATATTAAATATGAAATCGTAGTCTTGGCAGGCGTATCTAGAGATATGATTAATGTCGTCGGGTTATGGAGATTACGTATCGCGAATAACCAGGATGTGGCCGACCGGTCGCATGGGCGTGGGAAGCTGCGATATTAAAATAATACACGCGTACGCTTTTACACGACTCGGCCATGGACACATACGTATCTTATCGATAGGAGAGGAAATGCAGGGAGTAGAACTATCTGGACTATATAGGAGAGCCCCGATTAGACCCAATTCAGACGTGAGCCACCAGAGTCAGAACAAGCACCTTCACGCCAGACACCCGTCCAATTTAATTATTCGGACTTAGAATATTTTGCAACCAAATCATTTTGTGCAGTAAAAGTGTTTTATTTACATAGTAATCNTTTGTGCAGTAAAAGTGTTTTATTTACATAGTAATCAAATAAATATCTAATAAATTAATCACAAATTAAGTTGTTATACTTATTACACYCAAWCCATCTACCYCAAMRCCAGTCGTTTGTCCTCCTGTATGCTGGGACGCTACAGTTGGAAGCCGTTGAATGTTGGTTTCATACTTTCATCTTTATCTATAATTGTTGGATACAAAGTATTGTTCACACACTGTTTGGTCCGTTCGAGCCGGATAGTTTTTTGTTTTTGTTTTGTTCGATTGTCGTTGATTCACATATTTCATCATGGCGCCAAAAGAGTTACYCGACGTAGCTCTTGCGCKAGCGCGCGTCAAGCGTGACTGCGCGTTGAAATCAATCGAAGGTATTCACGCGACAGCTTTGATCGCACTTTCCGATGCCAGCAAACTACCATCGCTAAATATTCGCGCTGARGATCTCGACAATTTTGTTCGTCAGTTTATTCAACAACAAGATATTATTATTRATGCGTTAATCGACCTCGATCGCGTTACCGAATTTGATCAGGTCGACCGTCCCGTTACCACGAAGATGGAATCCATGCGATTCGAAATAAAAACAACAGTCGCGAGTGACACATCGAGTTGTAAATCGTCATATAATGAATTATAAATAAATGTTAAGGATACAATTCAAAATTTTACTTACCTAATTAAAATAAATTTGTATAAAATTGTTTTGTTAAAAAAATTTGTTTCAAAAAAAAACTAACGAATTATTTAACTTAACGTAGTAACTTAATTTTAATTTTTAACTTGTTAATACTCAGYCTTGCTTTTTGGTCGCTTTTATGATTAAAATTATTTAATCAATCTTTTTATTATCTTTAACCACTTCCAGCCTTGGTAATATCATCTAATGTTTCACAAACTATTTGTAATTTTGTTTCCAATAATTTCTTTTCTCTTTGTAACAACAATAAGATATAGTTGTTCCTCTCTAATACTTTCGAATAAACAGTATTGCTAGCTTCGTTAACACCCAACTGCAAAACAAAATACAATAACAAATAAATATAATTACATTGATATCAAACTTAAAAATATTTCTGTTTATTAAATTTTATACCTGTAAACTCCTTTTCAAAGTAGTATTTTCTTGTTGGATTAAAAAAAGTTTTTGTCTTTCTTTTAGTAATGTTGAACCATTTACAAAATCAGAATCTTTCGGTTTACAATTTCCATTATTGGTTAAATCCATTATTTATTTAACTACCTATAGTGGAATTTCAATATTTAAACTGATCAAATAAAATACTAGTATTTACAATCAATGATTTTACATAGTTAAGTAATAATATAAAATATTTAATTTACAAATTTCCATCCAAACAACGTTACTCAATGGTCCAAAACTCAAAATTCGGGATAATCAAGTTTTGATAAGAGTAGTTTAGATAACTTGTGTCGCAAAATGGCGGATGATCATACCCACTTCTTTAGTGCCTTATTGCAACGTGCGTACGGTGTGTTCAGCCCGTATCTGTGCTTTAGCGGCGTATGAATTATTGTTGATGTGCAACCGTTTGTCGTGTCGCCATCCTACCGTTTTCGTTGTGTGAAACGCGTCGTCTAGTAAAAACGTACCCGCGCGCCATTGTAAGCGGCCGTTGTTGTGGTATTGATATACCAGTCGACGTTCGTCTATTAGTGTTTTGCAACCGTTTATCGTGTCGCCATATTGCTCACGAACGTCTTGATTGCGTGTGGCGTCGTTGTGTCGTATCGCAATATCGTCCACGTCCACCAGTGTAAGCGACCGTTGCTGTGGTGTTGTTATACTGGCTGACGATCGTCGTTCAGTGAATTGCATCGTTTGTTGTGTCGCCATATTGCCATATTGTCGTGAAACGCGTTGTCCTTGTTAAACCAAGTTGTCCAGCCGTCCAGTATCCAGTGGGAGTAATTAGTGGTGCAGGTCGTACTCAGTTATTTTATATTCTTGATTATTTAATTATTAATCTTACTAGCCGGTTATTTCATTATTATATACTATTGATTGTACTTTTATTTATATCATATATTATATGTGAGTTGTTCACATCTTGTGTTGTTATCAAGAAATGTTAATGTTCATTGCGAATTCAATTGTTATGTAAAATATTATGT